GTTCGTCGCGCAAAGTATACCCGAAAAATTTGGGCGGGTACCAAAAATGCGAATTTTTTTAAAAAAATTTCTTCCAACTTTGCGCGACCAATATATAGTAGTTCGTCGCGCAAAGTATACTCTAAAAATTTGGCGGGTACCAAAAATGGGAATTTTAAAAAAAAAATTACGACTTTGCGGGACCAATATATAGTTGTTCGTCGTGCAAAGTATACCCGAAAAATTTGGGCGGGTACAAAAATGGGAAGCGGGAATATTGTTGTCGCGCAAAACTTTGAGCGACGAAAATTTCGTCGCGCAAAACCCTAAAAATTTGGGTACGCACCAAAAATGGGAATTTTTTTTAGAAAAAAATTTCAAGACTTTGCGCGACCAATATATTGTTTCGTCGCACAAAGTGATACGGTTTTTAAAACCAAAATAACACCTCCACCATTTTCTCAATGTCTTCTACTCTTACCTCTCCTCTCTCTTTTTTGGCTAGTAATCCCTTTTTTTCCATCAGTACATCATTGTGACTTTGTTGAAATCATAATAATAAAAAAGAAGCCTTTAATAGCTGCAATATACATCATTGATTTTTAAAGGAGGCAAAGGTGAAGTTTGAATTTGCTGCTCCTGCAAAAGCCGGAGAGAAGAATTATATCCTTTATTTCATATTTGGGATGTGATTGCTACACTACAGCAATTGATTGCTATTGCAATCCAGATACACTACCGCAATTGATTGGTAATGCAATATATAGAGCCGAAATTGATTAGGAAATTACCAAACTTATTGATATTCTGATTAATTGATCTTCAATTACTATACATTAAACTAGAAGAATAAGCCAAAAAAAAAAAAAACCCAGATTAAAAAGACACAGAGGGAGAATAGAGAGAGAGAGAGGAGTTGAGAGGGGAGAGGAAAGACAGATGTAGTTTTATATAAAGGGAAACAAATTTATTGTAGGCGACGTTGCATACCCATAAGCGTTGGATTATTTGAATGGTTTAGATTTCATGAAATGCGGATAAATGCACCATCTCTAAATACAAAGACTCGTGATCCATGTATATATATGGATAATAAAAGGGGAGCGTAGGAGGAGATTTTGAGTGTGCGTGAAGGAATCACCTCCCAAAATAAAAGGGGAATGTAGGCTAGGGGACTTGCCTTTACAAGTCCCACATAGAATAGAAAGAATTTGATGACACGACTAAAGGAAAAAGAAAGTATAGTTATTTTATTTTATTTTTCGCTTCTCTTTATAATTCGTTTGTAAAGAAAATGGGTAAGTAAGATTGTTTGAGATTAAATATGTAATTGAAAATGGGTAAGTAAGAATACAATTAGGAACATTATTAAAATCCAAAGAATAATGCTACCCTTATCACATTTGTATATTACATTTACATACCATTTTATATGGTAGATGAGGTGGACAGCCACATTAATTAAAATTAATTTAATTTTAACTTTTCTTTTATGATTTATTGACACTTTTTAATTAATCTGGAGAGAAAAATATGTAATTGAAGATGTGGAGAGAAAAAGAGACCATTGCAGATTTGGGATGAAGGGCGTTGGCAAGATTTTATTTCCTTTTTGTATACAAATTATTTAAGTCTATTTGTAATTTGAAGATTTAAATCATGTGTTCAAATATTTTAATGTACGGCTATACTTAAAAAATATTCGAATATACTTAATAGTACAGCCGAGCGGCTATAAGGTTTAAATATTTTAATATATTTAAAGAGTATAGCCGTCGGCTATACCGTTAAAATAGTCTTATATGCGGCTTTCTCCTCGTTGAGATACATTAATCCAAAACCCTAGATCAGTTCAGATCAGAGCCGCGCGCGCTCTCTCTCTCTCTCTCTCTCTCTCTTCCTTTTTCTCTCTGTCTCATAAAACCTCCCTGCTTCGTGGCATCGATGGCTGTCTTTATTGCGGGCGATCTTCGTTTCTGTGAATATGGCGGGGGTATGGCTGATTGTGCGAATGACCGTGGGCAACAGGTTACTTTGCGCGCTGTCGAAAGCTGCGGTGGTGACATGACGAGCAACGCAGAGTATATAATACTGGTGGTTGGGAGTTACGGTGCTTACTTTCGATTGACCAAGGATGAGGTTGACCGTAGGTTTCCTTGTATCATTGTCTACACACCAGACCCCGTGCCCGAAGAGGATACGATCTCCTTGGTAAGGAAGATGAAGGAGCAGTTGGATCTTCCAGTGTTAGCCATTGCCGACAGTAATCCACGGTCGGTGAAGAATTTCTCTCTTTTCGTAGCAGGAGGATGCGACATAAAGTGGTTGGGACTCCGGCCTAGTGATGTGGAGGCGTTAAAAATGCATCCACGGTGTATGCGGCCCATGAATAGCAAGGATCTTAAGCTAGCGCAACGTCTCTTGGAAAAAGATGCAGTCGTGAAGCAACGTCCGCAATGGGTTGAGGAGCTCAAGAAAATGGTGGAGATCCGCAGCAAAGTAGAAGTGGACGCATTGTCCCCCTTAGGGAGGAGCTTCTTGTCCAACGTTTATTTTCCAGACAAGATGGAAGCACAAGATTGGATATGACTCACTCACTAGTACTCATATATAGCTAGCTACCTTAATTATTACTAGGTATCTTCTTAATTATTCTGTTTGCCATGCTCAATATACTATTTGTTTTTCTTTTCTGGATTCAACTAATGACGATGATGATGCATATTGTTTGTTAATTTCTCTTTTATTTTTCTTTCTGGATTTAGGTTTCATTTGATGCATTTATATTTATATATAATCAATAGAGTTCAGAAACTTCAGATTATTATTATTATTATTTTAAAACAACAACAAACAACAAACAAAACAAAAGGAGAAGAAACATAGTGATTTTGATAGCTGCTAATCTCATAAATTAACTACCTCATCAATGAAAAGATTATAAAAAAAAAACAACTCTCTAATCCCTCATCAATGAGATTTCTTCCAATCCCAAAACCAGTGGGATTCCTTTTGTTCTATTATTTTCTCTATTCCCTTTCTTCTACAGATTGATTAGCACGAATGTGAGTATGTAATATTCAAATATTCATTCAGAAATATAGTGGGAGCTCACCTTATGGTGGGTGTCTTATGCCTAACATTTAAGTGCCTCATCCGCTAGTGTCTTACAAAACTTACAAACTCTAATCCCAATTCCTTGAGATTTTGCACTGTGTTCTAGCCTCCAGCATGTTAGAACAAGAAGTTGAGGAAAGCCCCTCTCAGCAAATCATGTGTTTTCGTGTATAAGATTTCTAAAAGGAAGAAATTTAGAGTTTTGGGAGAACTTCTCTGCTATAGGCATCAGATCATTTTGGATTTTCTTGTGAGCAAAGCTAATCTGAATATAAAGGGATGAACAACAAATATAAAGTGGTTTTTTGTACATTATAACAGTATCCAATCAGAATAATTTTTGGCACGGACGGATGACTCCTAATGAAGGGAGGCCTAGAATATAGACGGTTTCGATAATTGAAATGAATTTACATAAAACATTCATCGCTACTGAATAATGCCAACTGCAGTGGTGGTGTTGGGCTCTCAGCATAAGGCATTTCCACCCACACATGACTTATCAACTTCCACTTCTTTTTTATTGTCCCATTCCTCCTCTGTTTCCGGCCTTTGCAAATCTTTTGCAACCCTGCATGCATCGAATAGCACTGAGACTTGCTTCGATCTCCTTTTATTTTTGCAGGAAGTATATCTTGCTGGAAGAATGTATGTGCTCACATCAATCTTCTCTAGCCTCTTTATCATGTCATTGCACTGCTGTATTGTGTTTTGGCTCGTCTAAGTTTTACTTTGTTTAGCTTCGTTTGCTTGTGAGGTGGTTCTGTTCTGTTAGTTTTTTTTTTTGCTCGTTGCGCTGTAGCGAGGGGATTCTTGTTTCCACCTCATGGTGGACTTGTTTTTTGGCTCATTCAATTAAATTACTTGAATTTAAAGTACTCTGCTTCATCTGAGTTTATTATATGTTTGCTTCCCTAGTGACTGTTGTTCATCTAGTTCTTTTCATTCTGGAAGTTCGATTTCTTCTCCAATACTCCAGCCAAATTCATTGAAACGATTCTCATTTTTAAGAACCCAGTCACCCTTATGAGCACATAGTTTCTTGCAATCCTCAACTTTTGTGGCCCTCCTGGGTTTCTCTGGAAGCTGTTGAGAAATATAAATTCTTTCAACTCACCAACTTCTTCCGAGTCCATTCTTGAATTTGTTATATATCTTCCCCCTTTTTATACATCGATCAGGTTGTATTGTGTAATGGCATTAGACCACTTCTTGTTATCAGCTGAGGAAATGGACAAAATGACCGGACGATGCAGCAATTTTGCTGCTTTGTTATTTTTACTCAGCCATAGCCTTGTCTAATCTGAGCACAGTAGTGAAACTACAGCTTGGATCAGAAGGCTGATAGCTCCAGCAAACAATATATTAGTGACAATGACTTTGATCGATGGCGGTCTTTATTGCGGACGATCCTCGTTTCTGTGAATATGGCGGTGGTATGGCTGATTGTGCCACTGACCATGGGCAACAGGTTACTCTGCGTGCTGTCGAAAGCTGCAGTGGTGACATGACGAGCAACGCAGAGTATATAATACTGGTGGTTGGGAGTTACGGCGCTTACTTTCGATTGACCAAGGATGAGATTGATCGTAAGTTTCCTTGTATCATTGTCTACACACCAGACCCCATGCCCGAAGAGGATACGTTCTCCTTGGTAAGGAAGATGAAGGAGCAATTGGATCTCCCAGTGTTAGCCATTGCCGACAGTAGTCCACGGTCGGTGAAGAATTTCTCTCTTTTCGTAGCAGGAGGATGCGACATAAAGTGGTTGGGACTCCGGCCTAGTGATGTGGTGGCGTTAAAAATGCATCCACATTGTATGCGGCCCATGAATAGCAAGGATCTTAAGCTAGCGCAACGTTTCTTGGAAAAAGATGAGGATGAGATGAGCAAATAGTGCGCTAGCTTTGAAAATGTTGAAGAAATCAAAGATGCCTTCTTGTGATGTATTTGAATGATAACCCACTTTGGGAGTTTCAATGACACTCCCTAACTCAACCTTGTACCCTTGAGATCTCTTTGGAGCGGAATTCGTTCATGCATCTTGCGTAGTTTCAATGACTCGCTAAAGTTATCACTGCTTGCAGACTCAGAACCCCAAGTCCTTTCTCCTAATTTGATAATCCCAGCCACAAACATTGGAATAGCTAGCAAGCTTGTAGCCACTCCCACCTGGACAAGATATAATAGTAAAAACAAATTACTATCTTCTTTCTTAGTACCTCTTCAGAATGACATTGAGCAAGAGGTAGAATAAAAGAAGCTTCAAAAGTAATGCAAAGAGTGACTTGAACTTTTTAACTCGTGCCTTTTATGATAATGAATCAACGATTATTTGCTTTAGGGCTAGCAGATGAATAAGCTAGCCCTTGCTTTAGGCTTTTCCTTCTAAGAGAGAACTAAAACCATGTGGGAAAAGTAGCGGCCCTGCTCTTTTCTGCAACCATGTAGCTGAGTTTAATGGCTACATTTTTTCTTATTCTGGTTTTGCAGTTAAATATGGTAATAAATGACCCTCTGAGGCTGTATCACCGGCAACTGTGCTACCTCGAGTGGCTTTTGAAGACATCAAACTTGGTGACGTCCATATTTCCAAGGGGGATAAGCCCTCTTACTAGCTACTTTTGCAGCTTGATTGTGAAGTTGGAAGCACAAGGAAAGCTTATATAAATTGCAATGGTGTTGGAGCTCATATGACATTAGTATGACTATATGAGTGTTAATATATATATATATGGATTATACTTTATTTATGAATCGTATTGTTGGAAGTCGTACGGATGATATTTGGCGTGTTGCAGGAAATGACATAAACTTGGAACATATTTTGGATGAATATGATTTACATATTTAATTTTGTTTTTTTAACTACAATACACACTAATACCTTGGCTTACACTTAGAAAACTTAAATAGAAGCCTTACTACTAGTCATCCTATTATGTAATCATAAAAATCGCACTTTTTACACGTTATATGCCTTACTATTTCACCATTTGACTTGATGTGCTTTAGCATCATAAAAATATTTGCCAGCTCCTAATCCATCCATAACTCTACAAATAAAAATTCTTTAATTTTATTAGGAACACTTCTAACAAATGAATTAAATAAATTTAAATAAGTACCTTGTGTCAGAATTGAGAAATTATATGGCTCAAATCTTTAGTATTCTTTTATTTATAACCAGTGTCTACTATTTAGGCAGAATACCGTCACTCATTCGAAAAATTAATGGTACTTTTTGTTTGAAAAAAGGATAAATGCAAGAACAAGGGTTCACCTTTCGTTTTAGTATGTTTTATAATCTTCAGGATGGGGATTCTCACTTTCCCCATCGACTTGGTTTCTATTTTTTTGTAAAAGGTTTATAGAAGAACTTAAGAATTTGGATAGACAACAGTGTAATAACAGTTTGGTAGTAGTCTTTAGCATCAATTTTGTTGCATCATAAATGCACTTGCCAGCTCCTAATCCATCAATTTTGTTGCATCATAAATGCACTTGCCAGCTCCTAATTCAACATAAGTCAACTATTGGTAGGTATTTAGGTGTCCATAATGTTGGAAGGATGTTGGTTAAATTAAAAGCAATATGAAAACCTTGCAAGCAATGGCGGAGCCAGAAAATTCATCAAGGAGGGTCAATCTCAAAAAATAAAATCAGCATAACAAGATAAATTTATCTAATAATACAAAGTCTTTAGTAATAACTCATATGCCATTCCAATACATTCACAATCGTCCTCGACAAGTTTTCATCTCTTGAAATATTTTCATAATCACTTCATTATCAATAATATCAAATGTACCTTTCTCAATATATGGATGATCAAGCTGTCATTCATCCATATATCTCCCATTTGGTTGCCTGATTTAGCTTTTAGGTTAGTAATTCTTTAATTAAGTTATTAAAATTAAGTAATGAAAAGAAAAAAGGAAAGCTGAGAAGGTCATATTTTAATAATAAATTATATACAAAGAGTAAATAGTAATGAATGCAGGGTTATTTATGGAATTTCAAAAGGGTCAACTGACCCTTGTGGGCCTTCATTGGCTCCACCTCTGCTTGCAAGTGCACAAATCAATTGATAGTATAATAAGCAAGCAAGCGTCATTCCCACAAAGATTGTAATCTAAAGAGATGCTTATCAATGTTGCACAACGAAAACTGAAACAAAATTAAACACGAAACAAGAGATAGTTGAGTCCACAAGGACTTCCACACACACGCCAACACCAAGGGGGTTTTGATTTGATTTTGTAAATAAAACAAAGCAATAAGAAAAAGAAAACAAAATAGAATTAAAATTAGAGTTTAAGAAGGATCAATTTTAAATGCAAATCAATCAAGAATAATAGCTAGGACTCACTATCCACCTCCAAACTATCAATCAATCCATAAACTATAATAGTCAAACAATTTTCAGCAAGCATATGATGACGACACTCACAAAAAGATCATGACATTTGACTCGAGTTGTATGATTCTCTCTTAAGTGTATGTAAAGTGTATGACATTTACATAAATACGTGCATTCTTAATTGAAATCCATCCTTACATTTACTCAATTTAACAATCAAGAATCTATTAAGAACAAAGAGAATATGAGTGTCAACAAACCCTACATGTCATATTTGTTATTAGGAATTCAAGAATCGATTTCATATACTTAATTCATAACCTAATTTTCCGTTGCAAGCAAGAACACATTCAACATGCAATTGACCTATGTGTTAGAAATTAGGAAAGTTATTTAATTGTTATTTAGTTTCCTTTTATTTGTTGGTTGTAATTGATAGAGTAGTATAAAGTAACATAGTTTTTCCATTTAAGTTTGTAATCTCTCTATAAATACTTAGCCTTTTGGCTATTTCAATAACATTTGAGAATTATTCTTCTCAACACAATCACCAATTTGACATGGTATCAGAGCAAGAGCAGGACCCAGACCTAGACATTTACGTAGACTAGCTACACCTTTGTTTGTACAATATCTGGCCAAGCACTCCCCAAACACTCCCAAGCCAAAATGAAGGGAGTCCCACATCGACAAAACACAAGAGGAAGGGACTCTCCCTTCTTTATAAAAGGAGACCTCTCCCCTTCAAGAAGGGAGAGAGTTGGGCAGGCTAAATGGGCCTCATGGGCTTACCCATGAGCCCATTTACAAGCCCACGGATTATTGGCCTTCAGCCAGATCCTCAGCCTTCGGCCATCAGCCTTCGGCCTTCGGCGCCATCAGCCTTCAGCCATCAGCCTTCGACCATCAGCTTTCGGCCATCTGCCTTCGGCCATCTGCCTTCGGTATTCTTCCTCTTCTCCTTGAGTCAAACCCTATGTGCATTGTATACAACATTATCGCAATGAGAACATACTTTTCCGTGGACATAGCCCGTTATTCGAGTTAACCACGTACATTTGTCTTCTGTATGCATGTCCATTTATCTACCGAATGCTCTTACATACTGAGGGTCCTCACCTTCAACATCCACCTCATCTTTAAGTTGGCCTAATTACTACCCGTCTAGTTTTAGCGCAAACAGTTTGGCGCCGTATGTGGAAGCGATATAAAACACTATGTCGTTCTCCTTTACGAGTGCTCTCGGCACCCTTTTGAGCCATGCCCTCGGTACCTCCTACAATCGGCCCTCGGCACCCACCATCATTCGGCGCATGCGATGTTTTCACATCCCTCCAATGATTCGGCATCTGCCTTCGGCCTTCGGCACCCTTGCATCATTCTGCGCGTGCGATGTCTTCACATCCCCCCAATGATTCGGCATCGGCCTTCGGCCTTCGGCACCCCATCATCATTCGGCGCGTGCGATATCTTCACATCCCCCCAATGATTCAGCCATCAGCCTTCGGCCATCAGCTATCAGCCATCGGCCGTCAGCCATCAGCCTTCGGCGCCATTTGACTTCGGCCATCAGCCAACGGCCATCGGCCATCAGCCTTCGGCCATTAGCCATCGGCCATCCGACTTCGGCCTTCGGCCATCAGTCATCGGCCATTAGCCTTTGACCATCAGCCATCGGCCATCAGCCATCGGCCATCAGCTATCGGCCATCGGCCATCAGCCATGT